TTGTTTCCAGCGACCGATATCTGCTGGTAAATAATTATTAGAGGTTCCTAAACCGCTTTATTGGGTTTAGGAATAAATTTTGGGAATGCTAGCATGATGGACGCTCGTTCGTGACCAACTCGTGTTATTCGGGACAAGCCGAATAGCGACTCGTGCCCCTCTGGAAGGATTTCATATTGGCGCATGAACATCTGAACTACTTTAAAGAAGAACGTTACCCCTCTATTCCTGTTTGATTCTTATGGTACTTCATATCACCGATTGTATTGCTGATTTTGCTTTTGTTTTATTTATTTATTTTACAGAATTAAACCTCTTTGATACAACTAAAAGGAGAAAACTAAAAGGAGAACAAATGTCAAACATATATATTCGAACGTAATTATTACCAGCTGTTCACCTTATATCTGAAATGCATATTTCTTAATAAGGTTTAAAAGCACAATGCAATGAATACGCTGAAAAATGTATGAAGGACCTCCAAAACCTCAGACTAAAATATCCCCAGAGATAATAAATATAATCTTAAAGATTAAATTTGATTGGTTATATATAAATATAATATTATTGCTTTGCTTTGAAACTCGTAGCGATTTATAACTACTTTCCTAAAATGTTGTAAAGCGCACGTACAATCTCTAAGAAAGCCCGCAAGATCGTCAGAAATACACTCTTTTGGACCCATGAGGAGCCGTTATGCAGGAACAAACGCACGTTTGTGTATTTGAATCTATCACCGTCAGTCGTATTATCTATATTAATAACTTCACATTAGGCAGCAAAATTCTGTTACCTACGTTCTTTGTAACTTTCTAAAATGGCGATATATCTATTTCCTTGGATTATTTAAATAATAACATAATGCCATAAACTTGATTTAAATACTCGAGATTATTTTCATGCCCGCATTTTGTCGCGCTTCTACCTTGTTTGGTTTTGTCGTATTTTTCGCACATAAGCATCGAGATATGGGACGAGTCGTCTTTGAGGTTACGGAAAAGGGCTATTTTTTTATAGTGATGACGAATGATGTGAGTGAGTGAGTGAGTTTAGTTGTACGCGACGAATGATGTACATTATTAACCCCCAAAGGTCACACACAAACATTCTACTACTACTACTGGAGCACATCCATTCGACCCCAGCGACAAATCTACCAAACTTTACATGAAAACTAAGTGTCAACAAAAGCTTTAACAATACAGCACGAACACTCAGATCTATTTGTATGATTCAGAAACAATTCAAGAGCAACAAGATTCTGTAGGTAAAGCTCACAACATGATATATACTGAGGGAAACAAATAAGGGAACACCACTTCATCGCAGTGTTCCTCTATTTATTCTCAGATTCTCATCCACAGTGCGATACAAAGCTCGTGAAGATACCAGGAAAAGAATAAAGGAACACTTGCTCTTTCAAGTGTTCCTTTTTTTGGCCTCAGTAATCGCTAAAATAATACATACGAAATATACTATCCCAAAAAGAAACGCATAGGCCGAAATCTGTTGCGAAAATGTTGTATTTTCAAACATGTATAACTCGTCCACAAATAATAGACTTTAGTACATGAATGTTTACACCAGTTTAGAAGAAGGTAATGTCTATACAACCAAGTGGATACTTTTAGATAACGGATACGTTGAGCGCGATGGTAGCACGGTCCCGACGTCGGGTGTCCTGGCTCTCAGACCAATCTCTTTCAACCTGTTCCGTACGGTTTGACCGGATATCCCCAAGGTCCAGGATCCTGGCTGTTGTGCTCTCACCGGTGACATTACGATCACGCAAAATGTAGTACCCGGATGTACCGATCTTGTGCTGCAGTGGTGACTCGAGGTCTGCCTGTATGAGGGGACGGTCATTTTTGTTATACCTCTTTGGTTGTAAGGGCTGCAAAAGCAGTGATATCGTGCTCAGACTAACATTCAGACGCCTGGCAAACAGAAGATTGGTAATCTCCAGCGTGCATTCTTTCAATGGCGATGTTCCGTGTCGCAGAGTCAAGACGTGGCGTAGTGATTTTACCTTGAAACTCCTTCCAAAACGAATGCCAATGTCCGAAAGTAATCTGGATTTTTTGGCCAGACAGTGCATGCTCTTTGCTGCACAATTTTAACTGGAAGGTGATTTCTGTTGCGTTGTGGCGATGCCTTTTTAATCCTTGTAAGAAATCTCATCAAAATCAACATTTTCAGGTAAAGTCGATTATTTACTTATTGCGGTGTGTAAACTCATGTTACCAACACTTTTGCTACATATTTTGACGATTGTTTGAACACAATAGGTAATAAGTACATTTTAAAAATACAAATAGCCTATGCCTCTTTTGGGGATAGTATACTAATTAATGAAACTACCAATTTCATATCATTGTAATACATGTAGAAATCCACAGGGACAACTGGTCAGAATAGATACCCAGTGACATATTCGTGCAAACATGGTTGATAGCAACATTCTCCCATACTGGGACGTTGCATAAGTCACTGGATAGCCTTGTCCAGACAGAGCGTGCAGTAGAACATCCAACATACAAACGTTTCAGCTTCACAGGCCCAGTCTAATATGAATGAAAACAATAGAAAAGGGGTAAAGTAAAGTTCCCATGTCAAACGTCAAGAAGGTCGCTTTTTAGTTTTTTAGGAGGCCTCGATTAATTGCAGTAACACTAGAACATTGAAAGTACACAAAACAATGGCGGAACACATATACCACAAGTACTTGCTGCTAACAACAACCAGGACCATAACGGCTAGGGTTATGCATTCAAAGCTGAACTTTCACAAGCCTTACATTTGCAGAGATGATGTTAAAAAAGCAATACAAAATTGCTGGTGGGTGGATGTTTCACGTCAATATCCGGGTTCGCATTGGTCTTAAGCAACCTTTGCTTGTTGTAAGAGGTGACTAACAGGATCGGGTGGTCAGGTTTACTGACTTGGTTGACACGTCATCGTATCGCAACTGCAGTTGATCACCGGATTACCTGGTCTAGACTCTAGTATTTACAGACCGCCGCCATATGGCTGGAAATATTGCTGAGTTCGGCGTAAAACTAAACTCACTCACTCAGTTAATGGCGGTTGTGCACAAAACGGAAGACAGCAAATATGGAAAATAGCTGGCACGTTGGAAGACACGATACGACCTCGAACAGTTCAAAGTAAGAGGCGAAAGTGCCATTGTAGATCAGAGTGAAGTCCCGCCTCCCAACTTTGATTGATGAATATGCGCCTGAAGATGTCTTTAACTGTGATGAGACTGGTTTGTTTTTCCGGTGTTCAGTCGTATTTTACGGGACACGGAAGATCATTCTCAGGTCGAAAAGGGAAAAGTTCTCTAAACCGGCATGCCCCTCAGACCGGTATTTTTGCCGGTCCCAACGAATGCCGGTTTAGAGGGCTTCCACTGTACTCAGTCTGAAGAAAGAACTTACAATCGACTCTGCTTTAAGCAGAGATTTCTTAAGGATGTGGAAAGGGTTTTATCGTGAACATGTACCTCCGGTAGCAAACATTATAGCAAAGGGACTTTATGTGACGGCTATAATATTTCTTGATCCAAACGCCTTATTTCCGGACATATTTCACATTCACTGGATTGCATTTTGATTTTCGTAGATTTAGTTGGGTTGTGTACTTTGGTTTATTTGTATGAAGCCAACGTTTCTGGCAACCAGTAACCAAATTGGAAACAATAGTAGTTTTTGAAAAACATGTGTCAACGCAGTAGGCGAACCTGACCACCCGATCCTGTTTGTCGCCTTTTTCGATAAGCATGGGTTACAGGAGACCATTTCTAACCTATATCTTCACGGGTCAGGTTTGTAAGGATATAATGGTGGTAAATGTTTAAAGAAACGAGTATTCATCTGCTGCAATGTGATGGTGTCACGGTTTCGTCTTCAGAAAAAAAATCGATTTTAAAGAGCCATCGCCAAATCCCCTTGTCATCGGCCTCATCGTCCTTTTCATCATCGTCGGCATCGCTATCATCATCGGTTTCTGTTACTGGCTGTGGCGAAAAAATCGCAAGTCCAACCTCCAAGCTTCAGCGGAAGTAAACTCCATGAATGTTCCTTCATCGTATGTTGCTGCGTCAAACCCAACGTATGCGAATGTTGCAGCTCCTCCATCGTACACAGAGGCTACAGGCAAAGGACTGGACCAAAATGAACACAGCTACTAGCTACTACTCAGAAATATTCAGATCTGTAACACTGAATACGGTTACAAGAAAAGTAGACCATTCGTTTACTTCCTCAAACAGCCTTGCCATGTATACGTCAGTCATACAGAAATACCATTCCCCAGAAATCAAACAATATCATATATAGGAAGGCAAATTATTTCCTTTTTTGTTTTTTCAGTATTTTTCCTGTTTTCTGCTTTTCATCTCGCTACAAGGGAAGGGTGGCCTATATTTTCACTGAGCCTTTGCCTTAATACGATCTCTGTGTGTCCTGGTGCCAAGGTAATACTCAGTCCACGGCTCAGATCATTCAAGAGAATCTACGGTCTAGTTACAGAACAATGAGTCTCTCAAGACGCTTCCTTCCCCCAGTGAATCAGTATGAGATTACACTGCTCAAATATTTGTATCCAAATTATATTTGTTTACAGATAAGATCAAACACATACTTCCATACCTATTCACATAACCTCAATACTATACTTTATGGCAGTTCCCAACAATCCCGAAATCTTGGCATCTGCTTATATAAAATAGACAAAACTGATCATTAATCAGTTTATACATCTTAGTATTCGCCACCGACACACCCTCCTTATCCAGTGTACAGTGTACACGTTATGGTATCTAAAGTTTAATTTCATTTTCAATTGAATGTATTACTTGAGCAGTAATTATATTCATTACCTATGTGGGAAAACAATAACCAACTCGTGACAAGGAATGACAGATCCCTATCTTTCCCGAGTTATATTAATTATGTAATTCTCGAACCTTGTCTTTCCCGAGTTATATATATATATATATATTACGGAATTCTCTAGCCTTGCCGAGGGAATTACATCATTAATATAACGAGGGAAAGATAATTTGACATTCCCTGTCACTCGCTAATTATTGTCTAATTATCTTACGACTTGTATACCGATCTAGTCCCTTCGCGTTCACATACACGGACAAACAATGGGATATTGTTCCATACCCTGTGTCTGAAATACATAATGAAACATTGTCTTAAAAATTGTTGTAAACAGGTGACCTATATTCAAGACACGTATAAAAATAAAACTGAATTTGTAACATGCAGGATATAAGCACTGTCTGCTGCTTTTCATAATACAAGATACTCAGCAGAGATTGATGTGATTGTTCCGTGTAATATTTAAGTGCTAATTCTTTGGAAAAAACATGGAAACTGACAACGAGATACAAACTTCTGTTCTTTGTCTCTCACTGTGTGTGTGTGTGTATGTGTGCGTGTGCGTGTGCGCTCGTGCTTTGTGTTTTTGGTTATTTATTTCTTTAGAAATAGAACGTGACATGGGGCAAGCAGAGCAAATTCAGCCCTAATATCTTGGAGAAAGATCGTACATTAGCCAATTTAATTATCCCAATTTACGGGTTTTCTATGTTTTAAATTGCACCATGGTGTCCGAGGACGTACATCTAAGTAGTTACAGGATAAACAAGAAGCCCTGGATGGCGATCCTACAACTTCAACTTTCAACATATGTGACACTTACCTAATGTTTAAAAACAATATCCATACCGAATTCTATCTATCATGTTTAAATGTTAAAAAGTACCGAGTAAGCTTAAGCACGATTCCGATGCTTATCTCATGAACTTTTAATTGAGAAAGGTAGATATGTAAATACGAATAGAGAAAATAGAACTTGTCAGTTATGTAATTCAAATGCAATTGGAGATGAGTATCATTTTCTTCTTGTATGCCCTAACTACAGTAATCTTCGAAGAAAATATATAAGAGAAACACATTATGTCCATCCCAACAGGCTTAAGTTTTCACTACTGATAAACAGTTCAAATACTACAGAAATCGAAAACCTGTCTATGTATATTTTCAACGCATTTGTACATAGAAAGCGTATTGTTCCTTGAACCCGTATAAAGCAATGTATATAGTGTAGTATAGGCCTCACCTCATGTCCAAGGAGGAAAATCCCAGTACGTAAGCATTCATGTTAACAACATGTGAGTGAGTGAGTGAGTGAGTGAGTGAGTGAGTTTTTAGTTTTACGCAGCTTTTAGCAATATTCCAGCAATATCGCGGCGGGGGACACCAGAAATGGGCTTCACACATTGTACCCATGTGGGGAATCGAAGCCAGGTCTTCGGCGTGACGAGCGAACGCTAACAACATGTAATGTAAATAGACATCACTGCTGCCGTCGACAGATGTACTCCTCTGTACTGGTTTAAAGCATACATAATTGCAGTATTCCTGCTATATTGCAGGCAGTCTATAAATAATCAAGTCTGGACCAGACAATCCAGTGATCGCACATGTAGTCCATTTAAAATGGGTAGTCGCAAAGAAAACTCTTTTATTATTATATAATCAGCTTTACTTACACAGCTAAAAACGAATATGTACACAATTAAATGCACAAGGTTTCGAACCGATGCCAGTGATCATAATCTGTGAAATGTAAAACAGATATACGGGAAGTAATAATGTATGGGAACTAGTCCTGCACATGTTCCATAGAATTACTATAGTTTGTCAAATTGTAAATAAAACTGTGTCTTAATTTAAATGTTTTCTGTTGTTCTATATCTAATGATCCTGCTTGAGTCTCTGGATAAGTCCTTAACTTTGAGTTTGCAGTATTGTATAGAAATTCGATTAGTTAAACCCAAAAGCACGGATAGGGCAACTAAGAAGTTTTATGAGAACGAGATGGGATTCGAACCCACACGCATCAAGTACTGGCACTCTCAAGGGACGCAGCCCTGCATACCTTGTTTGTGTAGCAAACACATTCATCATTGTTAAGCTAATACTTCCATACACAAATCAGTCTAATTCATCTCGTAAATTTCAAATTATGTTTTATGCTCGTAATTATAAAACAATAAATTGTTCCCATGCATCGTTGTTTGAAGACTAACGCTTAGTCTCTGAATATGTACTCACAAAATATTTCATGTGTTCCCTTATTCGTTTCTATAAGTATATATAAGTAACAAATACATGCACACCCCTTTAAATTGAAAAGGAGCCCAAGTGAGATCAACCTGAGGGAATCTTGACTTCATTTAGTGCTTTAGCATTGCAGAGAGGGCTAGGCAGTAAGGGACAACTATGATGTTTAGGTACTGTGAGATAAACTACATTGTTTGGTGTCTTTTCCAATACCAGCACAGAATGTAGGTCCTACAAGTAGGACAATGTATAGTATATCAATGTGCCATGACGAGATAATTACGTCATTCTAGAAAAATACATACAATGATCTACCATTCCTCGATATTTACTGTCAATAAGTGTAAAGAGAACAGTATGCAGCATGGCATAAAAAGTCTACTGAGTCACTCCAACCATCTTGTTTACGACAAATGCGTACCCCGTTTAGCGCCTAACAAGATAATAATGTGGCATTTACGTGTAATTCATAACAAATGTGGTAATGGTCAGTGTTGACCACCTTGCGTATATAATGAGTGAGTGAGTGAATGAGTTTAGATTAACGCCGCTTTTAGCAATATTCCAGCAATATCACGGCGGGGGTCACCAGAAATGGGCTTAACACATTGTACCCACGTGGGGAATCGAACCCGGGTCTTCGGCGTGACGAGCGAACGCTTTAACCACTAGGCTACCCCACCGCCCCGCCCCGCGTATATAATGGGTTAGTGGGTAAACGGAAAACACCTTGGTATATGTCTCTCGAACACCTTGACAATATTGATAACAACATGCAGTTTGACATATATAACATAATTAAACTGATATTCATGTACATGGATGTCAGTACCTGAAGCTATCATGGGGAGTTGGGCTCCTTTCGTCGCGGAATGTCCAATGGGCGCATAAAGGATAAATATTGTACATCATGGTTTCCAAAAGATTAAAGGGAGATGAAGCTAGGAAAATTGGCAGTCCCAGTAAGATTGATTCGTGTTGTTCTAATCGCCTCTCTAAAATTGCATGACGTAAACCTATGTAAAAGTAAAGTGTTATCCTGATTGCCCAGACACAATTTATCACCTTCACACATGGCACGAATTTCAACTTCTAGCTCCAAAACAGAAATTGGCATTAGACTGTAACATGTTCTTCCAAACATGCAACAAGGTCTCAATCACCCGATACAGATGTTTGCGATACAGAACAGGGTCTGAGATTTAGATGCTATCCGAGTACTTTTGTAGAAGCCAGAACACTGGATCCGGGAGAGATGATCATCACAAGAGGCCGTGAATGTCGCCATACTGACGAAAACACATATGCAAGACGAACCTTGTAATTTATTCTAGTATATGAAATGTGCAAGACACTGTTCCATAGAGCTGAAACTGAGACAGAAAGGAATTCATCAGGAAATGAGGGTATGAAAAGTCCATATACTGAAATGGATACGCTTGCGTGATCTTATGACCAAAACTCACAGTCATTTTCACACTGTAGTAGAGCACTGACTATAACACCTGTGCACAACAACAAAAATTGCATAAAATTAAGGTTACTTAAAAAATTATAAATAAAATGTTCGTAATTTGTGACTTGGGGGTGATGATGAATTTACGTGTGTGTGTGTGTGTGTGTGGGGTTGTCACCCATTTTGTTCTGGGGAGGTAGGGGGTCATCATTTTTGTACGCTTGTACTAGAGAGGTCAGCAATTTGTACATATATGTATTTTAAAAAAAATATGCTTAAAAATTAGGAGTGGGGGTGGGGGTGTCGTTAGTTTAGATTTTGGATTTTGTGCACCTTGAGCACAATGATGTTACTCACTGTTTGCATGCTTTTGGACACCTGAAGTTTCACCTATCGCTTATGTTGTGTTCGTCAGGCATGTATTACACGAACATCACAAACGAGTTTGCATGAAAACCTACCACTATTACTGGGCACATCCACTCAACCACAACCTCATTTCTACCTACAGTCACATGCGTTGTCGAGCTAGAATTGAAACTGGTTTAACAATACCTCGTGAACAACATTCAGATCCACAAGTATGATTTCTGTAAACAGGAAAAATAGCCACAATGTAGTTGCCATAAATCTCCAAACATGTTCAAAACTAATTACATACACATAACTAGATACTAGGACTCAAATTATGTACATTGCTATGACACAATGGACAGCTAAACCAGGTAAACCAGACAATCAAAAGGGGAATGAAGCTGTGTCAGATTCAAAGGTCACATGAAATAATTATTTGGTAATCGTAACTAGAACTAAATACATAACAACGTTTACTAAAGAACCATATACCTAAAATCCAATTGTAAATCTTTTGCAAAACAAAAAATGATGGTGTTATATAAAACGTTGGCTAATACCTCTATCATGTACAGAAATTGATTAATTCCAGGATGGAGAGCTGCAAAGTCAAACTGCGTACTCTCATTAAATACAATCATTATTTCATTTGCCTGTATGATGGGCTGAAGGCCTCTTTACAGAATAAACACTGTCTGTCTACCTGTCTGTCTGTATAGCGATAAACGCAGAAACGTAACAATCTATCAAACTACCAATTTCATCTCATTATAATACATAATGAAAATACCCAGGGACAACACGGTCAGAATATATACCTTGTGTCACATACGTTGGTCTTAACATCCGTTCACCCCGGGGGTGTTGCATGCAATGTAAGTCACAGAATAATCTGATCCAAACAGATCCTGAGGTTTAACATTTAACAAACAACCGTTTCAGCTTTAAGGCCTTGTCGAATGTGGCGTAAAACTATGAAATGTCAAATCTGATTGAAAATGGAAACAATACATTATGATAAAGATCAATGCTATACGCCATAGTTGGTATCGCATACAAAGTTTTATCTTCCTGGTCCTGATGGGAAATCCAGTAATTATGGAACCCTAGAAGGGACATTGTCGCGTTGTCGCCTACTTTAAGGTTTTTCTACACCTCTTAGATGGGGCAGCTATGAGGCGACACATTTTCACCTTGAAAATTGTCGCTATGTCGCATTGTCGCCTTTTGGATGAATAAAAAAATATTAATCAAAGCACGACAATGCGACATAGCGACAAAAGGCAAAAATTTCGCATTGTCGCACTTTGGTTAAGTTTGTCACTTTGGCTTGTTTTTGTGAGGGCTGTGTACAACAGTGTCCCTTCTAGGATTCCATACGTGACAGCAGACTATGGGGATGAATGCATGCCAGAACGACGAATCTTGATAAGCTTTGTAGGTTTAGAAGAGGCGTTGATAAATCTGAATGTATACACCACATGTACCATCATAATGGCTAGGATCAGGAATTCAAAGTTGAAGTTTCCTTGCCTTGTAACATAATTATGTTATATTTGGGATTACACTTTCTTACTAAAGTACAGATTCTAGTACTTTTGGGGGGTTGAGTCCCATCCGGGATTCGAACCCACACCCTCAGAGTCTGGCACCTAATTAGGTGGGAGCCGTGCCAAGTAACACTTATCAGAGGGGTACACAAAGTCCGCAGTCTAGACTAGAAGACAAGAAAACCAAAGCTTGAGCTTATTTGACCTACAGTCACATGCAATGAAAGCAGACAATAATGCTATTTTTCACTTGGAAGTGAACTCTTCGATACGGTATCAGTATCGCAGAGGACACAAGAATCGTACATATGATATATAAAGCAACAGAAGTTATCAGACATCTTCTCTAATTACATGGTCAAGAGAACCTGTCGGCTGAAAAACAGTGTTTTCATACACCTGCATATGTAACTCCTCATAGGCCGTGTCTTTTCTTTCTCTTGCGCTGTGGTCCATGCTCTCGTACATATTTGTGTTGTGTCCGTCATCTGTGAAACACCAAAACTCAGGATTTGTGAGCAAGAAATGTAAATCTAAACGTAGAAATATAAGCATTACAACATCGTTGTTCATCACTCTGAGGAACCGTTTATTTTCTCTGGGAGATTGTAATGTCCTAGAAATCATTTACATAGGTTCATTACGTACCCCACTGAGGTTTGAGCATGTTCATAATGTCAACAAATGAACTACGTATCATGTGAGACTACCACTGGAATATGAAATGACTCTATGACAATTGAAATGAAGGTGACATGTTGGAATACCAATATTTACGAGGTGTAAGCATGGCTACTTACCTGACTGGCGTGGAGCTGCACTACTGCAAAAAAGAAGAAATATTTATTGAAATATATGGATATTCATTATATATATATATATATAAAATCATTTTGGGCTGTAGTGTTTCATCACAGCACAAACACAGGAGCTACTACTACTTAATGTCTGTTTATAACGTTATAATTAATGTAAATGCGCATGACGTCACGATGGCTGTTGCATGAGGTCACTGATCAATTATCAATCATTTTAGGTACACAATGGTGGGTATTGACTACCACAAACAAAGATATCAAATAGAATTACTCACTCTGTCGATTCAGGTGGCTCTGTCTTATCTGAAAATGCATTTAAAGGTTCCATAAAAAGACATAACAACAAGGTTTTAAAATCTCGTCTGCGTATATTTTCGGCACTGCATAGGTAGACATACAGTGCATGGTAGATGTATGAATTGTTTCGAGGTTTAGTCCGCTTATTTGACCATTGATGACGTCTTGGACCCACCCTTCATTGTGTTGCGTCTTTTCCACCATAAGATGTACACTGCAGCTGCTACAAGAAGGGGAACCAGGCATATTGTCATCCCAACGCCAACACCAGCACTGAACGTTGGCCCTGAAAGTTCCACGGAAAAGGACATTGCATGTTATACTGTTATGTTCCTTTCTATTCGTCATCATCAATCAATAAGATTTTTACGCAAGTCATTGTTACAAGGTGTATGAAATGATCTACCAACTCTTACGAAAACGACAAATAATATGATTGTAACTCGGTGGTTATCAATATAATGAGAAAGTTATGCACGTCCATGTCAAAACATGGCATACCGTGTTTAATGAGTTATTAAAGGTACGCAATCAACATTACTGGTGTACTCTGTTATTGTGAAATTACATGTAATGTGATTGTGCATGTATTAATGGTCATGGTCATATACTGGGTGGGCGTGTAAACTGTGTCCTACGCTATGGACAACACATGTTTATCCGTCTCACGAGATTGTGATGGTGGACACAAACGAATGGTGGTACAAAAGGCAACTCCATATACACTGATGGTACAATACGTAATCAGACACTGCAGACAGATGTGCGCTAATCTTCGTTTACGTCAGTTTTGCGGAGCGTTAGGAAACCTGTCGGACACGAAAGTACCTGTGAGTGTTTAATTAATGTCATTCCACAATTGCGTTTCCAATAGCTAGAACGCATCGTAATCCTTATTGCACTTAGACAATTTCTCACTTTCACACATTGCACGAATTTCACCATGTACTTCTTGGCTAAAAATTGGCAACATATAACAGTGAAATCATTCTCAATCACCTGATATATCTTCTTTTTCAATACAGTGAACAAACAGGGTCTGAGATTTAGATGCTATCCGAGTACTTTTGTAGAAGCCAGAACACTGGATCCGGGAGAGATGATCATCACAAGAGACGGTGAATGTCGCCATACTGACGGCGACAACCGCACCATCGCTAGCACGTGATGTTGATGTCACATCCTCTGTAAGTGTCTGATTTCCTCTCGTCCAGATGATGGTGGACAGCGGTCTTGTTGGATTGGTCTCACACACAAGCGTGACGTCTTCATTCTCCGTCATAGCCATGGGGAGGTTCGTTGAGTTGATAATACTTATGTCCACCAGAGGTACTGTAAATGTGTAAAGACAAGATACTTTCATATGATAAATCAAATGATACGTTTTAAATAAATATATATGGTTTGTATAATTGCTAAGAATGATTAAATAAAGTAAATTAAAGACATAAGGAACATGTCCCAACTACATGAGTCATCTCTTCTTAAAATAGAATCCTTGGACAGCGCATTTCAAAGAGAAACATATTCCGACAAATATACATATATACAATCACAATATATGTACACCAATCATAAATATAGCTGTAAGGACTTTCCAGTATCTTAGCTTCACGAACTCTTGGTAAATAAAACACTCATGTTGCCACCTTGCACGTCGGATCCCATGGTATACATGCGGGGTAAACGGTACGAGTTTGCGGTTGAGGCTATCACCAGGAATGGAATGGTCACAGAAATACACCAAAAGTTACTGTATATTGTGACCCGTGGCGACGTTAGCACACGTGAGATGATACAGAGCACGTATTAGAACATCACCTCTATTTACAGTTTGTTTCATATGACACATGCCACATTCGTGAATTTTCTCTGTTTATAGTCGACCCGTGAAGGTCAGGGTTAGAATTGGCCTTCAGTAACCCATGCTTGTCGTAAGAGGCGACCAAAGGGATCGGGTGGTCAGGCTCGCTGGCTTGGATGACACATGTCATCGGTTCCCAATTGTGCAGATCAATGCGCATGCTGTTGATCACTGGATTGTCTGGTCCTGACTCGATTATTTACAAACCGCCGCCATATAGCTGGAATATTGCTGAGTGCGGCGTAAAACTAATTTCACTCACTTACTCACTGTTTATAGTCAATGTAAGTAAAACACATTTTGAAAATAATCACCTAGTTAGTTACGAGGGGCTAAAATAATATTAATAATAATTAATAAACTTTTAAAAACTAAGATGGAAAATGACTATTCTGGGTTTACGACAGAATTGACGGCAGAAAACTGACGAAAATCAAATGTCTTTATTTTACCATCAACGTGAAGCAGAATCGTGTTCGTTCTCAGGATGGTTTCTTCGTAGGATCCAACACAATAAATTCTCTTCATATGGAACTCTCTTGTGACTTCCATTGTAAGACGACCTACAGTAACAGTAAGTCCTCCGTCTTCACGAGTTGATGAAGAGGCGCCAGTTGTTATAATGTCGTCGTCCTTCATCCACGTTATGTTGGATGGTGGTTTGGTCGGGTTTGTTTCACACACCAACAACATCGTGTCACCCTTCAGTCAGATTTAGGACATGAGTTGTGGAAGTCACCAAGTTGATCGTCTTCAGTGGCACTTTGGAAGAACATAAAATGCTTACATTACTTTACTTCACCTTGTATGGGAGTTTACGTTCGTCACAATGGTCAGTGAATTTGCCTACCTAAACTTTAAAGAGTCACTGATCTATCTGCAATGACAGAGGACTTTGAGAAAATAGTAATTTCAAATGTGCATACCACACGGTGCGTGTCAAGTAAGTTCTACAACCTAAGCAATCAGACAATTATCACAGTGGATGTCCGTCGGGAATGTCCCAGTCGGTTCCAGTGTGATTTTCATAAACTCTCGGACTAAATTTTAAAGAACCACCTCAGTTACGTGTACTATCTCAGCTGACTAGTGAGACTTTACACCAATGTGAAAAAATAGGTTACATGATCAGGTGAGGAACTATCACGAGTTCTATCAATCAGCTGCAGATTGATGTCTTAATTTGTACCTAAGTCGATATTAACGTATACATTCATTGAAAAAGGTTATTGCTTGAAATAGAAAATATTCATAGAACCTTTGTCAGTTGTCATTTACGATATTAGCATTCTATTTTATTCATGCGTTGCAGCAATGAACATTCCATTTCATTTACGTAATCGTTGGGAAGTTCTTTGATGCCAGGAAGACAAGTTGAACACTAAGTCGTTGCTTTCACAAGCTCTTAAATTTCAGTTTTATTTCAATTAAAACCAAATCTTTTTCCTGTATTTGTCAGATAACGAGTTTGAAAGTGTTTAAAACGTAATTATAGATTAACTATACTAGGATTTCCGTTTTCTTCTAATTCTTACAATTTAGTCACTTGGAGATGAAGTTAATCCTCATAATGCATGGAATTGTTAATATAATCTCATATCCATAATAAACTAGTTGGATATATTTTCCAGCGAATTGAAATATCAAGAGTTCACAAAGAACACTGTATTTCATCTTTGTTAATCACAGTGTGGATACGTCCTTATACCAGAAATTGCCCTTATATGGCGAGGCATAGACCGTGAACAGTCGAAATTTCTTGGATATCATGCGGATATGCACAAAAAAACGATAAGAAAAGTATAATACTGTTAGGATAACATCAAATCAAACAGATCACAAAGATCGAGACATATCGAATTGTCGGAGATCAGTGATCCTTTTAAAACCAATAAAATTACAGAGTTTGCAAAATCAGTTTCTCTCCATAAACTCAAACACGGGTCTTCAGCGTGTCGAGCAAACCCTTTACCCACTTGGCTACAACACTGCCTGTGTTATTTATGCAGCAAATGAGCTTTTATGCTACGTTTTACGTTCAAGTTATTTACATTGTTACAAAAGCCGCTGTATATTTGACTCTATCCTGCAAATAATGGAAATGTATAGCTTGGACGACCTATCAATCAGGTGAAGGTAAATGGTTGCCCAGCAACTGCAGTAAGGGAGGACCCTGTCAGGTTTACTCGTCCTGTTGGAGAAGGTGTGAGATATGATTAACATCGTCGATATAATGAAAACTACATGTAGCTATTGTTGATGTCAATCCGGCTAGGGCCCATGCAGGAAGCAAATGTAATGTAAGTTTCCATGGTCCCTAGTATGGTGATCTACCTTCAGTTGTTGGCAATCTATAGCCTGTTTTTATATATAACATTTATATCTACAGTTGAAATGTTTTAGACTTCATTACTAGTTATATATTGAAATCCGTGATTTTACTGTCCTTCGTTGACAGGGTTTTATAATTTACCTTCATTTATAATGAAATTATAACTTGGTTTTAGTCAGGATATGGCTGAAATATTGCCGATTTGACTTAAAATCTCACTCACTATTGTTGGTGTGTGCTCCCATACACAACATTACACTGAGTTACACATCCGCACTTGTACAATTCCAGTTTTGTTTTGCCTCCAAGTTGTGTATGAGAAGGCTGAGCTCACATTGAAACGCCACTATCAAACCGTCATCTAACTGAGGAGGAGAATTATATGAAACATGAGGAGTATGAAATAGTTGTTACCTTCACATGCAACAGCAAGGGTCGCAAGAAGAAGAAGAAGAAATATCCCTGTCATATTCTGAAGAGGAAATCGTATGCATCAAATACAGATTTGAGATATTATCGCAAAAATGTATTGTGGCTAAATTTGTGAAAACAAGCCTTTCGTCGTGAGGTAATTTGATGTGGTGGTGGGGAAATGGCGTTCAGGATTATTGCACAAATACAGCACGATGCATGTGATACAAATCGCTGTTAAAACTGCAGTATTATAGCTTACTAGAGGATTGCTGATTATACCCCGTTTTGCAAAATAATGGACTGATCATGTGTCTGCTGGTTGGGTAGGTTGGGTGGGTGGGGCGTTCAAATCAGTATCTGCTGTGATCATCGTGTGCTGTTGTCACCGCTCTTCATCTCCTTGCAACAGACTCAATAAGTCTACGGATTCTGCCCTTATATCGGGTTCAGATCAGAAGATATGGAAGACATTGGCGTGGGAATTGTGAAGGAAGTCATCAGCGACACGAGCTGTGGTTGATGTAGTGCTGTCATGTTGACCCAGCTTGACAGTCGCAAGAGATATGGTGGCTGATTAGGCCATCGCTTTCTTGCCTTAAAATTCGGAGGCGAGAAAGCGATATCACGAACGAGAAAGCGATAACACGAGACGAGAAAGCGATAGCACGAGACGAGAAAGCGATAACGCGAGACGAGAAAGCGATAACACGAGACGAGAAAGCGATAAACTGAGACGAGAGCGATAGACGAGACGAGGAAGCGATAACGCGAGACGAGAAAGCGATTGAGACGAGACGATAGCACGAACGAGAAAGCGATATAGTTGCGCGAGAAAGCGATAGAGCGAGAAAGCAATAGAGCGAGAAAGCGATATTACCCACAATTCAGTCCTGTCTGCGCATGATCGACTACAAACGGGAGCTCAGTCGCCATTCGTAATTTCTGAATAGTATTAAATGGTTTTCAGTAATGTTCTTGCCCATGAATGGCTTTGTATGACTTGACGTTTAGAGAATATCTTATACAGATGTAGACTTTTCTTTGGCATGCTATTTGCAAGTATGCAATAGTCATATCGTGAAATAACGGAAACGTTCATTTTGTGATGTGACTAGGGAATTACATATTTTATGACATGACTGGATTCGAATTGTCTTAACCAACTTAATCACACCAACCAATTGAATTATGATATTGTGTGACAAATGTGTCGGAAGTGCCAGATGAAAGGGAGGGACCTATGACAAATAAGGCATTGTGACGAGTATCTGTTCATGGTGATTTCCACAATGAGCGGCCAGCACTAAGACAACCTAACACCGTACAATCAACCACATCCAAACCATCATCCTAAAATAAAATCACTGCAATACCCTACCACATTAAGTGAGTGAGTTTGTGAATTGCGATCTATGTCGCCTAAGAGCACTACTCATGTTGTTGGGTTCATTGTTATACCACCATTGGAGGTCTATTGAGAATAAAAGTAAAGTAAAGGCTACAGCTGGACGTCGTCGCATAGGTTTTGATAAGCTGATTGGTGACACGTGTATCCAATTCACCTTTCGTAACATTTTCGTTTCCAGAGGAGGACTTGAAACTCGTTCAATATATGGAATTATCCACCTCTATTATCTTGTTTATAATTTGGTCAACTCATGTCAAAACGATTCAAATCGAATAGAGAGCAATCGGTGACATTCACTGGGATGCAGACAAATAAACCCTATACACATCTACAAAACATTTATCATGTTGTTCACACTGGAGTGAGTAGCTCCCGCCCTTCTCTACCCCCATCCAATCATGATAAACTAAACTCCTTACAATATAAACCCCAAAACCACCCACCCCAAAAAAAGAGAGAGAAAAAGAAGAAAAGACTAGTACCTACTACCTTGTAGTTTCTAGAAGAAACCAAATTACTCTAAACTTCCAGACTGGGTCTGAAAACAAAATATCAAAACACCAACCAAAAAAGGCACCCTTAAATTCATAATAAACCCTTTAAAACATCTCTATCCAGCCACACAATACAGTGTAAACTCGATTATCCAGACTAACTCACAATGTCAAGGCCACACAACGCACGTTTCACAACCAAAACATAAACACGGTACCCTGCCTCCCGAGCCCTACTTTTTAACATTTAACCCCTTTTCATCTATTTATATTAGTAGACACCTTATTAGCTTATCGGCAACAGTTTAACTGTTCTGCACAATATACAATATACTTTACACTACTTACTTATTTGAACTTATAAGCAATCAACTTCCCAACCCTCTTACGTCCAATTTCTCAACTCCCTATCTAAACTAAATTATTTTCAATATACAGGTGTTTTATGATACAGTGCTTTATTCCACAAGTAATAATTTTATTACGTTTTGTTAAACACACCTATCACGTCGGTCGATGACTTAATTAGCGCTAAATTGGTAGGGTGTATGGACAAATGGAAGCCAGGATTGTTAATCCCGGCATGAATAATGAGATAACAATGGTGGCAATGAACAAAGGGAAATGACAATAAAGAAATGTAAGTCAGGAATTAATTCAGGCCTAATTAGTGATGTAACAATAAATTAAATGATTGTTATCCCTTTTACAGACTTTTTTAAGAACACTCATTTATTTCAACGAAAACACACTCGGTTTCTGGAGTTATTGTTGGATTATTGTTTGGACAAGTTAAAGGATTAATTAAAAAAATGCCACAGAATTTGAAAGCATGTTCATTTTGTTTCTATACGACTAAAACAAATGGCGATAAAGCCTCCTGTTGGATTAAATCATACGCAGGCAAGACGTCATGTGCAGACGGGGCAGAATTATGGGAAATATCGCTTTCTCGCTTTCTCGCTCTCTCGCTCTTTCGTCCCGCGTTATCGCTTTCTCGTCTCGCGTTATCGCTTTCTCGTCTCGCGCTATCGCTTTTTCGTCTCGT